AGTAACGCAGTGCCGTAACGCCAAAATTAGACTAGTCAGGAAGGGAGGTAAATCATCTGGAGGGCAAGTGGTTAACTTGGCCAGCCAGTCACCTGCAGCTTCAGGGGTGTCAAAGAATCGAACCATACCCCCATGAGGTACCCCTAGTTGGCTGGGGTACATCATACTATAAGGAATATATTGAAACCTCCTGCGCTTCAGATGAAAAAACACACACACTAAGCTGCCAACACCCTCCTTTTGACCAAAAAGTACATATATAGAAATAAGAAAAATTGGTGTAGCGCTAAGACAAATGCCACTAAACATACATATACATATATAAACAAGTGCTTAGAAATAATCATGCATATATAAACCTATTGCATCTCCCCTAATGGGGGAACATGACTATATGCTTGTGATGGTTGCACACAACACCATGCAAAGGAATAATATACTTCAACAAGTGACAAAGGTGAATATATTGCAGTCCACTTCACACAAAGACTGTGATCCTTTTAAAAAGCGTGAGAGTGCCACTGGTGCCACATTCCAAAAATGGTTTGAGTGCCTCCTCACCTCCCCGCACTGACCACAAGGGCCAATACGCCTTTGCACCTTATAAGGTATATTCCTCGAATGTCAGCCGGTACAGGTCCACACTGGATGCTACCTCAGGCGCTGTTGTCCAAAAAGCCACCTCCAGCTGCTATATAGTGGTGGTAATATACCACCAGATGATGCTCAGAGACATAAGAAGAGACTTGCCATAGCGTAATACCGCAATATTTATTGATAAAATATATAAAAAATGCCCACTCACATGTCCACAAACAGTATACAGCCTTATGTAAATCCTCCTGTATCCTAGTGCTGTGGGTGTACCCGGAGTCCCAATATGGCGCTTCCGTCGGAAGTGACGTCACCGCGTACCGGAAGTGTCGTCAGGGCGTACCAACGCGTTGCGTCACGGATAGCACGTGACTTCATCACGTGCTATCCGTGATGCAACGCGTTGGTACGCCCTGACGACACTCCCGGTACGCGGTGACGTCACTTCCGACGTACGCGCCATATTGGGACTCCGGGTACACCCACAGCACTAGGATACAGGAGGATTTACATAAGGCTGTATACTGTTTGTGGACATGTGAGTGGGCATTTTTTATATATTTTATCAATAAATATTGCGGTATTACGCTATGGCAAGTCTCTTCTTATGTCTCTGAGCATCATCTGGTGGTATATTACCACCACTATATAGCAGCTGGAGGTGGCTTTTTGGACAACAGCGCCTGAAGTAGCATCCAGTGTGGACCTGTACCGGCTGACATTCGAGGAATATACCTTATAAGGTGCAAAGGCGTATTGGCCCTTGTGGTCAGTGCGGGGAGGTGAGGAGGCACTCAAACCATTTTTGGATTGTGGCACCAGTGGCACTCTCACGCTTTTTAAAAGGATCACAGTCTTTGTGTGAAGTGGACTGCAATATATTCACCTTTGTCACTTGTTGAAGTATATTATTCCTTTGCATGGTGTTGTGTGCAACCATCACAAGCATATAGTCACGTTCCCCCATTAGGGGAGATGCAATAGGTTTATATATGCATGATTATTTATAAGCACTTGTTTATATATGTATATGTATGTTTAGTGGCATTTGTCTTAGTGCTACACCAATTTTTCTTATACTATAAGGAATGTTCTTGTCTCGAAGTCGCTTTTGAATATTTGTGAAGGATTTTTGCTTCTTCTGCACTTCGGCTGAGAAATCATGGGTAAAGATGTGGTATTATCCTACGGTAAATAAGGGTGTTTCCGGGCCTCGCTGAGAACACAATCTCTATCCCTGTAATTAAGGAAGCGAACCAGAAAGGGACGTGGAGGTGCGCCAGGTATTATTTTCCCCATGGAGACCCTGTGACCCTGTTCTATCACATACAGTTGTGTTCAAAATCATAGCAGTCAGACACCACTAACCTGATCAATCACTGTTTTTGGTAGAAATGATATTTCTACATGGCAAATAATTTACTAGCAGGTGTAGTAGATTAATAGAAATCCAACAGACCCAACAGTCATGACATGCATGCTGCTGATTCTGTGTAATTGAATCACTAATTGAATGGGGTATGTTCAAAATAATAGCAGTGTGGAGTTCTATTAGTCAGGTCATTCATTCTTTGAAAAATTATTATTATTGCCCTTATTTAAGGAAGGAAGGCAGCAAATGTTGTACATGCTGGTTACAGTGCATTTCTCCCTGAAATTATGAGGAAAATGGGTCGTTCCAGACATTGTTCAGAAGAACAGCGTACCTTGATTAAAAAGTTGATTGGAGAGGGGAAAACATATAAAGAAGTGCAGAGAAAATGATAGGCTGCTCAGTTAAAATGATCGCAAATGCTTTAAAATGGCAACCAAAACCTGAAAGACGTGGAAGAAAGCGAAAAACTACCATTCGAATGGATAGAAGACTAGCCAAAATGGCAAGGACTCAGCCAACAATCAGCTCCAGGAAGATCAAAGAAGGTCTAAAGTTACCTGTGAGTACTGTTACAATTAGAAGACGCCTATGTGAAGCCATGCTATCAGCAAGAAGCCCCCACAAAGTCCCACTGTTGAAAAAAAGACGTGCTGAAGAGGTTACAATTTGCCAAAGAGCACATTGACTGGCCTAAAGAGAAATGGCGCAACATTTTGTGGACTGATGAAAGTAAGATTGTTCTTTTTGGGTCTAGTGGCCGGAGACAGTTTGTCAGACGACCCCCAAACACTGAATTCAAGCCACAGTACACTGTGAAGACAGTGAAGCATGGTTGCGCAAGCATCACGATATGGGGATGTTTCTCATACTACGGTGTTGGGCCTATTTATCGCATACCAGGGATCATGGATCAGTTTGAATACATCAGAATACTTGAAGAGGTCAAACTGCCTTATGCTGAAGAGGAAATTCTCTTGAAATTGGTGTTCCAACAAGACAACGACCCCAAACACACCAGTAAACGTGCAACATCTTGGTTCCAGACCAATAAGATTGACGTTATGGAGTGGCCAGCCCAATCCCCGGATCTTAATCCAATAGAAAACTTGTGGGGTGACATCAAAAATGCAGTTTCTGAGGCAAAACCAAGAAATAGAGAAGAATTGTGGAATGTAGTCCAATCATCCTTGGCTGGAATACCTGTTCACAGATGCCAGAAGTTGGTTGACTCCATGCAACGCAGATGTACAGCAGTTTTCAGAAACAGTGGTTATACAACTAAATATTAAGTGATTCAAAGGAAAGCAAAATCTTCAAACATTTTTTTCAGTTTATATAGTGAATGTTTGAGTTTGTAAAGAAGAATACAAACACTGCTATTTTTTTTGAACAGTCTAATATTCACTTTTATTAAATTTTTTTTAGAGGAACAGCACAAATTTGATATTTTTTTTTCATGTTTTGATTTGGAATAGAATGTGTAGTGTTCCCAATGCATTTGTGTGTATGGAAATAAAAAAGCTATTAGAAGGATTTTGAGCTTTATTCACTTTTTTCAACACACTGCTATTATTTTGAACACAACTCTATGTGGGCGATAATTCCTTCAACTGCAGGAGGTCTTTAAAAAATGTCTCCGTGAACTCAGCAGGTTGCACAACCTCTGCTTCCTCTGGTAGGCCAATAATCTGACATTGTTGCAGCGGAGCCTTTTTTCCGCATTATCTGCCTTGACAACCAAGTGCTTTACCGTAGTTTGTACAATTTTCAAGAGTTCAGTGTGTTGAGCCGTGATGTCTTCCAAGGCGGAGATTCGATCCTCGGTGTTGGAGAGGCAGCCTCTAATCTTGTCTAAGTAATTTCAGATGATGTTACACTCTTCAGCCACTCGGTCAATTCTGACCAGAAGAGAGGTTTTGCATTGATATATAGTCCCAAGGATGAGGCTAGTGTTGTCAGTATCTCCCTGCAAGGGCAGTGGTACCCTCTTGATCCGCCTCCATCTCCAGCTCAGCGAGGGGTGTATGGAGCTTCCCAGCCAAGATGGCACCCGCTCCAGTAACCTGAGGAGGCGGCTTGTTCTTCCCTGCCAGAGTACCGGGCGCTTTCTGACAGGATGGCATTGTGGATGATCCCAATGCGATACTGGATGTTTAGCAGGGTTCCCATGGTAAACGGCCGCTACACAGCCCCACAGCGGTATTCAGGATAGGTCAGGATGGTGGGAGCTTCTCAGGCTACTGTCCACTCAACTCTATATCCAGCCATGCCCCCCCCCAGAAAGTCAGAGACTGATACAGGAGGTCAGAGACTGTGGACATGATAAAGCAGAAGGTCAGAGACTGTGGACACAATACAGGAGATGTCAGAGACTGCAGAAACAATACAAGAGAAAGTCAGAGCCTGCAGACACAATACAAGAGAAAGTCAGAGCCTGCAGACACGATACAAGAGAAAGTCAGAGCCTGCAGACATGATACAGGAGATGGTCATAGACTGCAGGCATGATACAGGAGAAGATCAGAGACTGCAGACATGATACAGAAGATGGTCAGAAACTGTGGACATACTTCATGAGATGGTCAGAGACTGCAGACATGATACAGGAGAAGGTCAGAGACTGCAGACATACTAAAGGAGAAGGTCAGAGAATGCAGACACACTATAGGAGAAGATCAGAATCTGCGGACACAATACAGGGGACAATAAGAGACTGCAGACATGATAAAGGAGAAAGTCAGAGACTGATACAGGAGGTCAGAGACTGCAGACATGATACAGGAGATGGTCAGAGACTACGGACTCATGTCAGGAGACATTCAAAGACTGCGGACATACTACAGGAGATGGTAACAGACTGCGGACAGGATACAGGAGACGTTCAGAGACTGCGGACATACTACAGGAGATGGTCAGAGACTGCAGACATGATACAGGAGATGGTCAGAGACTTCAGACATGATACAGGAGACAGTCAGAGACTGCGGACATGATACAGGAGAAGGTCAGAGACTGCAGACATGATACAGATGTTCAGAGACTGCGGACATGATACAGGAGACGTTCAGAGACTGCGGACATACTACAGGAGATGGTCAGAGACTGCAGACATGATACAGGAGACGGTCAGAGACTGCGGACATGATACAGGAGATGTTCAGAGACTGCGGACATGATACAGGAGAAGCTCAGAGACTGCGGACATACTACAGGAGATGGTCAGAGACTGCGGACATGATACAGGAGATGGTCAGAGACTGCGGACATGATACAGGAGATGGTCAGAGACTGCGGACATGATAAAGGAGAAGGTCAGAGACTGTGGACACAATACAGGAGATGTCAGAGACTGCAGACACAATACAAGAGAAAGTCAGAGCCTGCAGACACGATACAAGAGAAATTCAGAGCCTGCAGACACGATACAAGAGAAATTCAGAGCCTGCAGACACGATACAAGAGAAAGTCAGAGCCTGCAGACACGATACAAGAGAAAGTCAGAGCCTGCAGACATGATACAGGAGATGGTCATAGACTGCAGGCATGATACAGGAGAAGATCAGAGATTGCGGACATGATACAGAAGATGGTCAGAAACTGCGGACATGATACAGGAGAAGGTCGGAGACTGTGGACATGATACAACAGATGGTCAGAGACTGTGGACATGATACAACAGATGGTCAGATATTGCAGATATACTACAGGAGAAGGTCAAAGACTGTGGACGTGATACATGAGACAGACAGAGACTGCGGACACGATACAGGAGAAGGTAGACTACGGACACAATATAGGAGACGGTCAAAGACTGCAAACGCGATACAGGAGAAGGTCAGAGACTGCGGACAGGATACAGGAGATGGACAGTGACTGCAAACATACTAGAGTAAAAGGTCAGAGACTGTGGATATGATATAGGGGAATGTCAGTATGCTGCAGAAGTAATGGAGGAGCTAAAAAAATACCTCCGTGGGGACCCATCAGATGCCAGGTTTGTGAAATATGTTGAACACTTCTGTTTTTAACTGCAGTGGGCCCACTCCATCTCTGTTTTTCACAGCGGGGGGGGCCTTCCCCCCCAGCCAAGCCGAGCCAAGACCGCCCCTGGTGCCAGAGCCCAGCTGAACCCACCTCCATCCAAGCCCAGGCCAGCTGGCCAGTCGGCTCAACCGAGCCAAGCTGAGCTACCCCCTCACTCGAGCCCACCCAAGCATGCTCCCCTGCCCATGCCCAGCTCTGACACCGCCCTATCACTTGAGCACAGCCGAGCCCACCACCACGCCCAAGCACAGCCCAACTGAGGCCACCTTTCCACCCAAGCACAGCCCAGCTGAACCCTCCCTCCCGCCCGAGCACAGACCAGCTGAGACCGCCCCCCCCCCCGCCTGTGCCCAATACAGTCCACCTCAGGACACGGACAATTGACCCCCTGTAGTGACGCCAATAGTCCTTCTGCTTGGGGAGTGGAGCTGCCCCTTTGAAAAACGCTGCCCAAGGCAAACTCCTTGTTAGCCTCACGGCAGATACGCCCCTGTGCATAGTCTGCACAGGTTAACGTTAAGCTTCAAAATTTCAAGAGTTTCAGGTGTTTGGCCAAGTAAAAAATACAGTAAATGTACAGATAAAGTAATAATATACCCTCTGTATTTTTTAATTTATCGCAATCAGCACAAAAAACATAAACATTGCCCAGTAAACTATTTATTAAAATTCTTCCAAACCACCATTGGGATCCAGTGTTGGGTGATATCAAAGAAGTGTTCCAGGAGTCAGTTGCCGCAGAAGAGGAGTTCCAGTGCTGAATGCAAAAGAATATCACTTACCAATACCAATATGGAGAGCCTGGTTCTGCCCAGGACATGCTAGAATTGACAGATGCAATCTGCCAGAAGCTCTGGATGGAGGCTCTCCAAGTCGAACAAGACTGTTATGGAAAGATTCTCTATATTCCTGGATAGGTACTGGCTGCAGTTGGACTTGTGTATACCATTCCTAGGAGAGCATCCTCGGGATAAATGGATTATGGAGCTGTATAGGCTGGTCCACACAGAAATGGTGTATGACGATGATGGGTATCGCTGCAATGGTGTGCTACCCAAGCATGCCCTTGGCTGAAGAACAGCGATTCCATAGAAGACTGTGACTTTGGTGGCCCAGGATTAATATTTGAGATGCTTCAGAAAGATCCATATTTCAGTAGTGCAGCCGAGTGTAGATGGGAGGACATTCGAGATGCTAGGGAGTTGGAACTTCCCAGTGAGCTTGGATCGAGCCCTGACTTGGACTTTATAGTTACACAAGAATGGAAGCTGGAATAGGCATATAAAAGACTGTTCGATGAAGCTCAACAGTATGCCCCAGCACTCATAGATGGAATGGATTATGAGTCACCCGCCAAAGCACTGGCATTGGGCCCAAGTGCCCTGGATTTTCAGCAATTCCAGAGACTGGAGATTTATTAGACTATTCTATTAAAGTGAGCCTCCAGTGGAAGAGCTGGCATAAGGGCAGAGCACCGCTGACCAGGGGCGTATTTACCACAAGGCAAACAAGGCATTTGCCTAGGGCAGAATTTTTTAGGGGGGCCAGCTCTACCCCATGGAAAAAAGGGACATATGCAGCATGGGGACCAGGTGGTATCTGTGAGAGGCTGCTTGATGGTGTATTCAGAGCCCAACTGTCATTTCCAGGGATGTCCAGAGCTGTGAATGTGTCTTTCTCTCGGTCGACATGGGGGGGTTAGTGGAAGGCTTTGGGGGCAGGGGTGTTGTTGATCACTGTCAGGCTCTCTCTCCATGGGGGGGGTGTCTGGTGTGGGGGCGTCCAATTTTTGTATTGCCTAGGGCAGCACAAAACCTAAATACAACACTGCCGCTGACCTCTGCCCAGCAACAACCGCACTTCCAAAACTCCAGGGAGCCAGGGCAAAATAATAGCAGTGTGTTGAAAAAAGTGAATAAAGCTCAAAATCCTTCTAATAGCTTTTATTTCCATACACTCAACTCTATATCCAGCCATGCCCCCCCCCAGAAAGTCAGAGACTGATACAGGAGGTCAGAGACTGTGGACATGATACAGGAGATGGTCAGAGACTGTGGACATGATAAAGCAGAAGGTCAGAGACTGTGGACACAATACAGGAGATGTCAGAGACTGCAGAAACAATACAAGAGAAAGTCAGAGCCTGCAGACACAATACAAGAGAAAGTCAGAGCCTGCAGACACGATACAAGAGAAAGTCAGAGCCTGCAGACATGATACAGGAGATGGTCATAGACTGCAGACATGATACAGAAGATGGTCAGAGACTGTGGACATACTTCATGAGATGGTCAGAGACTGCAGACATGATACAGGAGAAGGTCAGAGACTGCAGACATACTAAAGGAGAAGGTCAGAGAATGCAGACACACTATAGGAGAAGATCAGAATCTGCGGACACAATACAGGGGACAATAAGAGACTGCAGACATGATAAAGGAGAAAGTCAGAGACTGATACAGGAGGTCAGAGACTGCAGACATGATACAGGAGATGGTCAGAGACTACGGACTCATGTCAGGAGAAATTCAAAGACTGCGGACATACTACAGGAGATGGTAACAGACTGCGGACAGGATACAGGAGACGTTCAGAGACTGCGGACATACTACAGGAGATGGTCAGAGACTGCAGACATGATACAGGAGATGGTCAGAGACTTCAGACATGATACAGGAGACAGTCAGAGACTGCGGACATGATACAGGAGATGGTCAGAGACTGCAGACATGATACAGATGTTCAGAGACTGCGGACATGATACAGGAGACGTTCAGAGACTGCGGACATACTACAGGAGATGGTCAGAGACTGCAGACATGATACAGGAGACGGTCAGAGACTGCGGACATGATACAGGAGATGTTCAGAGACTGCGGACATGATACAGGAGAAGCTCAGAGACTGTGGACATACTACAGGAGATGGTCAGAGACTGCAGACATGATACAGGAGATGGTCAGAGACTGCAGACATGATACAGGAGATGGTCAGAGACTGCGGACATGATAAAGGAGAAGGTCAGAGACTGTGGACACAATACAGGAGATGTCAGAGACTGCAGACACAATACAAGAGAAAGTCAGAGCCTGCAGACACGATACAAGAGAAATTCAGAGCCTGCAGACACGATACAAGAGAAAGTCAGAGCCTGCAGACACGATACAAGAGAAAGTCAGAGCCTGCAGACATGATACAGGAGATGGTCATAGACTGCAGGCATGATACAGGAGAAGATCAGAGATTGCGGACATGATACAGAAGATGGTCAGAAACTGCGGACATGATACAGGAGAAGGTCGGAGACTGTGGACATGATACAACAGATGGTCAGAGACTGTGGACATGATACAACAGATGGTCAGATATTGCAGATATACTACAGGAGAAGGTCAAAGACTGTGGACGTGATACATGAGACAGTCAGAGACTGCGGACACGATACAGGAGAAGGTAGACTACGGACACAATATAAGAGACGGTCAAAGACTGCAAACGCGATACAGGAGAAGGTCAGAGACTGCGGACAGGATACAGGAGATGGACAGTGACTGCAAACATACTAGAGTAAAAGGTCAGAGACTGTGGATATGATATAGGGGAATGTCAGTATGCTGCAGAAGTAATGGAGGAGCTAAAAAAATACCTCCGTGGGGACCCATCAGATGCCAGGTTTGTGAAATATGTTGAACACTTCTGTTTTTAACTGCAGTGGGCCCACTCCATCTCTGTTTTTCACAGCGGGGGGGGCCTTCCCCCCCAGCCAAGCCGAGCCAAGACCGTCCCTGGTGCCAGAGCCCAGCTGAACCCACCTCCATCCAAGCCCAGGCCAGCTGGCCAGTCGGCTCAACCGAGCCAAGCCGAGCTACCCCCTCACTCGATCCCACCCAAGCATGCTCCCCTGCCCATGTCCAGCTCTGACACCGCCCTATCACTTGAGCACAGCCGAGCCCACCACCACGCCCAAGCACAGCCCAACTGAGGCCACCTTTCCACCCAAGCACAGCCCAGCTGAACCCTCCCTCCCGCCCGAGCACAGACCAGCTGAGACCGCCCCCCCCCCCGCCTGTGCCCAGTACAGTCCACCTCAGGACACGTACAATTGACCCCCTGTAGTGACGCCAATAGTCCTTCTGCTTGGGGAGTGGAGCTGCCCCTTTGAAAAACGCTGCCCAAGGCAAACTCCTTGTTAGCCTCACGGCAGATACGCCCCTGTGCTTAGTCTGCACAGGTTAACTTTAAGCTTCAAAATTTCAAGAGTTTCAGGTGTTTGGCCAAGTAAAAAATACAGTAAATGTACAGATAAAGTAATAATATACCCTCTGTATTTTTTAATTTATCGCAATCAGCACAAAAAAACATAAACATTGCCCAGTAAACTATTTATTAAAATTCTTCCAAACCACCATTGGGATCCAGTGTTGGGTGATATCAAAGAAGTGTTCCAGGAGTCAGTTGCCGCAGAAGAGGAGTTCCAGTGCTGAATGCAAAAGAATATCACTTACCAATACCAATATGGAGAGCCTGGTTCTGCCCAGGACATGCTAGAATTGACAGATGCAATCTGCCAGAAGCTCTGGATGGAGGCTCTCCAAGTCGAACAAGACTGTTATGGAAAGATTCTCTATATTCCTGGATAGGTACTGGCTGCAGTTGGACTTGTGTATACCATTCCTAGGAGAGCATCCTCGGGATAAATGGATTATGGAGCTGTATAGGCTGGTCCACACAGAAATGGTGTACGACGATGGGTATCGCTGCAATGGTGTGCTACCCAAGCATGCCCTTGGCTGAAGAACAGCGATTCCATAGAAGACTGTGACTTTGGTGGCCCAGGATTAATATTTGAGATGCTTCAGAAAGATCCATATTTCAGTAGTGCAGCCGAGTGTAGATGGGAGGACATTCGAGATGCTAGGGAGTTGGAACTTCCCAGTGAGCTTGGATCGAGCCCTGACTTGGACTTTATAGTTACACAAGAATGGAAGCTGGAATAAGCATATAAAAGACTGTTCGATGAAGCTCAACAGTATGCCCCAGCACTCATAGATGGAATGGATTATGAGTCACCCGCCAAAGCACTGGCATTGGGCCCAAGTGCCCTGGATTTTCAGCAATTCCAGAGACTGGGGATTTATTAGACTATTCTATTAAAGTGAGCCTCCAGTGGAAGAGCTGGCATAAGGGCAGAGCACCGCTGACCAGGGGCGTATTTACCACAAGGCAAACAAGGCATTTGCCTAGGGCAGAATTTTTTAGGGGGGCCAGCTCTACCCCATGGAAAAAGGGACATATGCAGCATGGGGACCAGGTGGTATCTGTGAGAGGCTGCTTGATGGTGTATTCAGAGCCAACTGTCATTTCCAGGGATGTCCAGAGCTGTGAATGTGTCTTTCTCTTGGTCGACATGGGGGGGTTAGTGGAAGGCTTTGGGGGCAGGGGTGTTGTTGATCACTGTCAGGCTCTCTCTCCATGGGGGGGGGGGGGGTGTCTGGTGTGGGGGCGTCCGATTTTTGTATTGCCTAGGGCAGCACAAAACCTAAATACAACACTGCCGCTGACCTCTGCCCAGCAACAACCGCACTTCCAAAACTCCAGGGAGCCAGGGCTGGCAGCCCTTCATCCCAGCAGCAGGCCGATACAGTGGAACTCCTAACCCCAGCTGAAGTACTGGCAGCGGGGCAGAGTACCGCCAGTCTTTGCCCATACACAAATCATATAGGATCAGCAACAAGGTGAAGATGAATTGTAGACATTTTATTCAGATGCAGAGTAAAAATAGTTCCAGAATGCAAGCAACACTAATGCGTTTCAGTCAAACAAGAACTTACTCATAGTTTGCCCATACACAGTCCCAGCAGAAGAGCTGGCAACAGGACAGAAGGTCCAAGATCTCTGCCTCTAACCTACAGCAGTTCCAGGGCCCCAAGGAGAAGAAGTGCTCATCTTCTCTCTCTAGTGGCAGTTCCAAAGTCTGGGAGAGGAGGTGGTCGTCCTCCCTCCCCAAGGGTAGTTTAGGGACTCGGGACCGAAGGAAGGCATCCTTGCTCCACAGTGGGAGTTCGGAAGTCAAGGAGATGGAACAGCTGACTCATCTCCCCAGAGGCAGTCCCACAGTCCGGGAGAGGAGGTGGTAGTCCTCCTTCCCTAGTGGCAGGGTAATGACTCGAGAGTGCAGGAAGTCATCCTCGCTCCATAGTGGAAGTCCGGGAGTCCAGGAGATTGAGCAGCCGGCTCATCTCCCCAGCTGCAGTTCAACAGTCCAGGAAAGGAGGTGGTTTTCCCTCTCCAACAGTCAACCAGAGTGGACAAAACAGTTTTTCCTTCCCAGCAAGTACTGGAGAAATGTCATCCCAGCAACTGGATGAGGATATGGGAGATGGAGCAGCCGCTCCATTCATGGACCATAGTGGGGAGGAAGTCATCCTCCCTCCACAGCAGCAGATCCACAGTCTGGGAGAGCAGGTGATTGTCCTCCCTCCACAGCGGCAGTTCAGGGACTTGGGAGTGATGGAAGCCATCCTGGCACCACAGCAGGAGACTGGGAGTTTAGGGGATGGAGCAGCCAGTTCATCTCCCCAGCAGAAGTTCAAGATCCAGGGAGGGGCTGAAGACATCCTCCCTCCCCAGCAGAAGATCCACAGTCCAAAAAAAGAGCTGGTCGTCCTCCCTCCCCAACAGTCAGCCAGAACAGAAGAAACTGTTTTGCTCTCCAGCAAGGATCTATGCACCTGGGAGACAGTACCAGGGAAATGTCATCCCAGCGGCCGGTTGAGGGTACGGGAGGGGGAGCGGCCAGCTCATCCTCCCCAGCAACGATTCAAGGACCAGGGAGGGAAGGAAGTCGTCCTCCTCCCCAGCTGCAATCCATAGTCTGGGAGAGAGGGTGGTCATCATCCATCCCCAGCAGTCAGCCAGAGTTCAGGATTTGGGATCCCCAGCTGAAGCGCTGGCAATAGGGCAGAATGCCATCTCTGCCTAGCACCTACCATGTCTTCACGGCTCCACGGATTTGGACCCTTTCCCCAGCAGCAGATCAAACCCCGGAAAGGTAAAAACCCTCCCAGCTGAAGAGCTGACAGCCAGACAGAGCGCCCACAACCTTTGCTCCTCGCCTACCAATGACAATTTTTCGCTGTGGCCAAGAATGGGGATTGTGTGGACCAACTATGTGGATTCACTCTGCCTGACTAACGAATTTACAGACCAGGTAGAGGTCTGGGACCTGGCTAGTCTACTTTTGAGGGGAGAGAAATGCGGCAGACCCAACTACAGGACTACAGGCTAGCCTCTTACCTATTGACCATGGCCCTGGCATCTGAGGGGGGCTGTTTTCTTTGGTGTGTGCCTGGGGGGGGGGGCCTTTGGAGCAGTTCACTTCGGATTCAAATCCACATCTTCCCAAAACAAACAGACTCTGAGAACTGAAGGACCAGGATACAGGTTTGGTGTCTCTGTGCCCAAGCTAGCATTGATTGCTTCAACCCCCCACCACCTTCCTAGACTCAGAGACTCTTAAGAAAATGTTGATATAATCAGCTCAAAACAACCTCATGCTGAGGACTTTTGCTCTCATTTGTTTATTAAGGTGTGATGTGTTTACTGTCTTTCTACCATCCTGTGCCTCCTAGGTGTGCATTCCCTTTGTTAATTGAGTTAATTGACTATCCTATTGTTTGTCTATTGGCAAGTCCTTCTGGAGGTGCCTACATTATCATGCTATCATGATATCTGCTTCACCTCGTTATCTAATAAGTGCAGGATGTTTACCTCAATGTGTAACATTTGTTTTTGCGGACTGCCCCTATTTCTAGAGTGTATAAAACTGTATTTCTGTTCAATAAAGTAGTTCCTGTTTGGCATCCAAGCTGGTGTCGCCTAGTCTTGGGTGCAATGCCCAGATATAATACCTTGGCACTGTGTCCCAGCAGTGAGGAAGCAGTTCTCTGATGGAGTCACCCAATCAGGGAAACAGGCGTTCTG